AGAAAGGCAGAAACTAGCAGAGTGTGACGCATCTAAAGGGAAAATAATTACGATGGGATGTGCGGCTGTAAAACCACAGCTTATAAAGTCTGACAACCTTTCATAGCACTCAAAATGTACATTAACCTCCCTGTTCTGCAGTGTTGCCAAGTCCGTGGTTTTCCTGTGGAATTGGGCTACTTTAAAGGGGTCCTATTATGCATTTTCAACTTCAGTGAGTCTGTAATGTTGCTGTTTGAGCATAAAAAATATCTGCGAAGTTACAAAGCTCAAAGTCCAATTCAAAAGGAGATATTTTATTTAATAGAAATCACTTTTCAAAAACTACAACGAACGACTCGTTTGGACTACAACGCATATTTTCCGGGATTTGTGATATCACAAATATCGACGAATGGGACGAGACCTGGTTGAGCTGCACTAGAGAAGGCAACGAGTGTTATCACTATGTCGGAGACTTAGCTTTCCCAAGGCAGAAGAATTTAGAGTACAATCATACGGGTTTAAATCGCACTCAAATTGATTTGATTTTGACGCAATATTTACACTGAAGCTCGCAGGCGGCTATGGTAAGGGGCATGACATTTCCCGACCAGGCACCGAGCTAACCAATCACAGCACACACTGGCCCAGCTAACCAATCACAGCACACACTGGCCCAGCTAACCAATCACAACACACACTGGCCCAGCTAACCAATCACAGCACACACCGGCCCAGCTAACCAATCACAACACACACCGGCCCAGCTTAACCCATCACAGCACATTTCGTATTTCAGAAGGCCGGCCTTCATTTGATACGGGAACTATTCGAGCCGTTCATGCCAGACATGTTGTAATAATGTAAAATATGTGAAAAATAATGTGTTTTCGAACAATCTAGTATGAGAGCCTGTTCTAGTACACCCCCAAAACAAAATCAAAACTTTGTAAAAGAGCATAATAATAGGACCCCTATAACATTGTTGCCATGGGTTGTTTTTCATGTCCGCGGGTTGAAGCGACCCCAATAACGTGATATTTAGCCCCTGGAATGCTAATTGTACCATGGGAAATTTGTATTTTATCCCGCAGAATGCAATTTTTATCGGGGGACCCCCCTCGAAATGCGATTAGGCTAGTTTTGGGCTAGTTTTGAGTAGCAATTGGGTGGGGTTTGTTGTGAAAACCTGGCAACCCTGCTGTTCTGGCAGATAATCACATTTTATTATATTTTAGTTTAGTTTAGATTAGATTTAGTTTTTTTTTTTTTAAAGAGTTTCATTTTGCTTTGCTCGAACACGTGATATGCTAAGAACAAAAAGAAAGGAAAAGCAGTTTCCCCCATTCAATATGACTACACAATATTATTTCTGGCAGATAATCACATTTTATTATATTTTAGTTTAGTTTAGATTTAGTTTTTTTAGTTTTTATTTTAAAGAGTTTCATTTTGCTTTGCTCGAACACGTGATATGCTAAGAACAAAAAGAAAGGAAAAGCAGTTTCCCCCATTCAATATGACTACACAATATTATAAAAATACAAATAATAATTATAATAAAAATATTATTAGCATAATAAAAACGGAAAAATGACTACACATAACTATACAATAATAATTATAATAATTATAATTATTATTATAATTATAAAATGATCATAATAAGATTTGCATGATAAATATACATTTTAATAATAATAATAATAATAATAATAATAATAATGTCATGGGAATTAAATCCATGACTTCCATCCAACTGGTCCCTTTGGCAAAAAAAAAATATGTATATATATACACTGTGTCTTTAATTTATGGTAAAATGATCTAAACTTCCTTAAAAGCCAAACAGAAAAAAGAAAGAAGCCAAACTGTGTAAGACAATAACATGTTTTCAGACCAACTGGTCCCTTTGGCAAAAAAAAAATTATGTATATATATACACTGTGTCTTTAATTTATGGTAAAATGATCTAAACTTCCTTAAAAGCCAAACAGAAAAAAGAAAGAAGCCAAACTGTGTAAGACAATAACATGTTTTCAGAGAATTTCTTTTGAATTAAGTCTCTTCACTGGGGATTTTTAGCACAAGTCTCATTAAAGTCTGCAGCTCAGTAGGTTTTGGATCGGAGAAAGACACACAATGGGAGAAATCCGGCGAGGATTAGCGTGTCTCTGTTAACAGGAAATTCCATCAGTCAGAGCCGCTGTGCTTCCCGCTGCGAGCCTTGAATAAAACGACAGCACTTGACCTCTGACCTTACGTGCGCCTGCAGGAACACACGGCTTACTTTTCACCTCTGACTCTCCAATCAGTCCAGTGCGAACGCACGGCGAGCGGGACGATCTAAAGATAACAGAGGCAGGTTTGGGAGGAAGCGCAGGGGCAGTAGAGGAGCGTGACGTACCTGTGCTGCTGTTGAGCGACTGCTGTTTGCATTTCTTGAAGTGGAAGCGTTTAATGGCCACCGGATGGCCTCTGTATTTGGCTCTGTAGATGATGGTGCCGCTGCCACCCTGTCCCAGGATATCTGCTGCATCTTCACTGCACTGCAGGTCACTCTTCAACAGGAACAACCTGAAGCACACATAGAGATGCTCTGACCACATGTGTATGTATGTGTGACTCATATCGTTACAGAAGATTTCTACTTTAAAAAAAAAAGTTTTTATTCATCAAAAAATAATGAAAAAAGTATCACAGGCTCCAAAAAATACATTAAGCAGCACTACTTTTTCTATTGATAATAAATCTGCATATTAGAATGATTTCTGAAGGATCATGTGACACTGAAGACTGGAGAAATTATGCTGAAAATACAGCTTTGCATCACAGGAATAAATTACATTTTACAATATATTACATTAGAAAGCAGTTGTTTAAAACTTTAATAATATTTCACAATATTCCTGTCTTTACTGTATTTTTGATCAAATAAATGCAGCGTTGACGAGCAGAAGAAACCTCATTAAAAAATAAATAAATATCTTACTGATCCCACAATTTTACCGTAGTTTGTGTGTCTATCTATCTGTCTGTCTGTCTCTCTATCTATCTATCTATCTGTCTGTCTGTCTGTCTGTCTGGCTATCTATCTATCTATCTATCTATCTATCTGTCTGTCTGTCTGTCTGTCTGGCTATCTATCTATCTATCTATCTATCTATCTGTCTGTCTGTCTGTCTGTCTGGCTATCTATCTATCTATCTATCTATCTATCTGTCTGTCTGTCTGTCTGTCTGGCTATCTATCTATCTATCTATCTATCTGTCTGTCTGTCTGTCTGTCTATCTATCTATCTATATGTCTGTCTGTCTGTCTGTCTGTCTCTCTATCTATATATCTGTCTGACTGTCTGTCTGTCTGTCTATCTATCTATCTATCTATCTGTCTGTCTGTCTATCTATCTATCTATACGTCTGTCTGTCTATCTGTCTATCCATCTATCTATATATATGTCTGTCTGTCAGTCTGTCTATATGTCTGTCTATATAGCTGTCTGTCTGTCTGTCTGTCTATATAGCTGTCTGTCTATCTATCTATCTATCTATCTATCTATCTATCTATCTATCTATCTATCTATCTATCTATCTATCTGTCTATCTGTCTGTCTGTCTGTCTGTCTGTCTGTCTGTCTGTCCTGTCTGTCTGTCTGTCTATATAGCTGTCTGTCTGTCTGTCTATATAGCAGTCTGTCTGTCTGTCTATATATCTGTCTGTCTGTCTATATAGCTGTCTGTCTGTCAGTCTGTCTATATGTCTGTCTATATATCTGTCTGTCTGTCAGTCTGTCTATATGTCTGTCTATCTATCCATCTATATATCTGTCTGTCTCTCTGTCTGTCTGTCTGTCTATCTATCTATATATCTGTCTGTCTGTCTATATATCTGTCTGTCTGTCTGTCTATATATCTGTCTGTCTGTCTGTCTATATAGCTGTCTGTCTGTCCGTCTGTCTCTCTGTCTGTCTGTCTATCTATCTATCCACACACATGAAGCAATATACATATGCATATATTTTTCAATTAATTTAGCATTTAATCAATTCATATTTAATTAAATGCAAATAATTATAATTGTAATTTACAAAAATTAATTATAGTGATAAAAATCACAAATATTCCATTTATTATAACTATTTAAAAATGTATGATATACATATCATGTAATTATATTTAATTTCTATGTCATCGTTGTTTTTCACAAAAATACGAAGCAGCACAATTGTTTTCAACATTAATAATCATAAATGTTTCTCGAGCAGCAAATCAGCATATTATTATGATTTCTGAAGGATCATGTGACACTGAAGACTGGAGTAATGATGCTGAAAATTCAGCTTTGCACTGAAATATATAAGAATATTTTTATGAATATTTGTAAAAAATATTTCACAATATTACTGTTTTTTAAAAAAAAAGCACAGCCTCAGTGAGCCCAAGAGACTGAGAAAAATCTTCGTAACCCCAAACTAAACATGCATTCTGACTTTTGACATTTTGTAAGATCTCTATCATTAGCCGACAGCTTTGTTCTCTCTTGTGGCTGCTGTGAATCAAACCCAATGTCTGTCAACGCAAAACGAGTTCATTTAGTCAGCCGTCATTCCTAATCATTCCCATTAAAGCTCCATATGGGAACATCATTTAATCTGATGTGCTTTGAACCGCCTCCGCGGGCTGATCCCACGCACACATGCTTTCTACGCTCTCCTTCCACACCACTTCCTTATGAGTGTGAGAAACAAACTTGCGGCAAAGATATTAACAGGAAACACTCATTTATAAGACATCAAGCCAAGAGGATTATGCTGATTTCATAATCACATAAATAATTGGTAAACTCATTCATCCCTTCTGTATAATTAAAGACATCTCCGGGCCACACAGCTGTTGGGATGAAGCTCATGAAAACATTTAGTTTTTAATTCGAGTGTTTCATGATGTGAAACTGTTTTTAATCTGATGCCAGGCAGTGTTGCTGTTGTTAACTGAAATTATTAAATCATTTTTGTTAACTGATATAAAACTGAAATAAAATATTGGGGGGGGG